ACCTTATTCTATCCCAAGTAATTTACAGATAACACAAGATTTCTCAGGATAATTGACTGATGGAAAATTCTCTAGCTGTTCGAATACTTCTACTAATCGCATTATTTGTGATGTAAATTGAGGAGTACGCTTATTGATCATAGTATGGACATAGTTAGTATGCCAAAAGTTCCCAATGTAGTACTATATTTGCCAAAATACGAAGTATACAATCAGTGGACACTATTTCCGTTCTTTTGGGGCCCATAATGCAATTCTTCAGAAAATGGGCGTGGCTTCACAATGTTTTCAGAGTTGAAGAAAATGGCGGAAAATATGCAGGTGAAGTCCAACAAGAGCGGATACAAATTCATTGCTTTAATTAATTATGACAAATGTTAAGAAAATGTTGAGCAATGTACTAAAGTAATGACTTTTCAAATAAGTTACCTTACACCTTATGTTGGCTGACAATTTGTTAGCTATGCTATCCTTACGAACCGCATAGCGTATCATTACAGCCGTATGTACCGGTATGTTAGCTAGCTACCTAACGTTAGTTGGCTACTAATACATCGACCTTGCCAGTATATTAACTATATGCTATCTAACTAACTACCCAACGTTTATTGACTTGATTATTCCTGTCATTAGTTTAGCTAAGTGGTATAGTCGGTATGCGTTCTCAATGGCCATTCGGGTGTGTTCTTAAATTCGCTCTGGCTACCTACTCCGATTTCAGAGCACTCTCGTCTGAGTGTACCTGTACAGTCGTGGTCAAAAGTTTTGAGAATGACACAAATACTAATTTTCACAAAGTCTGCTGCCTCAGTTTTGATGATGGCAACTTGCATATACTCCAGAATGTCATGAAGAGTGATCAGATGAATTGCAATTAATTGCAAAGTCCCTCTTTGCCATGAAAATGAACTTAATCCCCAAAAAACATTTCCACTGCATTTCAGCCCTGCCACAAAAGGACCAGCTGCCATCATGTCAGTGATTCTCTCATTAACACAGGTGAGAGTGTTGACGAGGACAAGGCTGGAGATCACTCTATCATGCTGATTGAGTTAGAATAACAGACTGGAAGCTTTAAAAGGAGGGTGGTGCTTGAAATCATTGTTCTTCCTCTGTTAACCATGGTTACCTGCAAGGAAACACGTGCCGTCATCATTGCTTTGCACAAAAAGGGCTTCACAGGCAAGGATATTGCTGCTAGTAAGATTGCACCTAAATCAACCATTTATTGGATCATCAAGAACTTCAAGGAGAGAGCTTCAATTGTTGTGAAGAAGGCATCAGGGTGCCCAAGAAAGTCCAGCAAGCGCCAGGACCATCTCCTAAAGTTGATTCAGCTGCGGGATCGGGGCACCACCAGTGCTGAGCTTGCTCAGGAATGGCAGCAGGCAGGTGTGAGTGCATCTGCACGCATAGTGAGGCGAAGACTTTTGGAGGATGGCCTGGTGTCAAGAAGGGCAGCAAAGAAGCCACTTCTCTCCAGGAAAAACATCAGGGACAGACTGATATTCTTCAAAAGGTACAGGGATTGGACTGCTGAGGACTGGGGTAAAGTCATTTTCTCTGATGAATCCCCTTTCTGATTGTTTGGGGCATCCGGAAAACACCTTGTCCGGAGAAGACAAGGTGAGCGCTACCATCAGTCCTGTGTCATGCCAACAGTAAAGCATCCTGAGACCATTCATGTGTGGGGTTGCTTCTCAGCCAAGGGAGTGGGCTCACTCACAATTTTGCCTAAGAACACAGCCATGAATAAAGAATGGTACCAACACATCCTCCGAGAGCAACTTCTCCCAACCATCCAAGAACAGTTCGGTGACGACCAATGCCTTTTCCAGCATGATGGAGCATCTTGCCATAAGGCAAAAGTGATAACTAAGTGGCTCGGGGAACAAAACATCGACATTTTGGGTCCATGGCCAGGAAACTCCCCAGACCTTAATCCCATTGAGAACTTGTGGTCGATCCTCAAGAGACGGGTGGACAAACAAAAACCCACAAATTCTGACAAACTCCAAGCATTGATTATGCAAGAATGGGCTGCCATCAGTCAGGATGTGGCCCAGAAGTTAATTGACAGCATGCCAGGGTGGATTGCAGAGGTCTTGAAAAAGAAGGGTAATTACTTAATGTAATTGTCAATAAAAGCCTTTGACACTTATGGAATGCTTGTAATTATACTTCAGTATACCATAGTAACATCTGACAAAAATATATCATAACACTGAAGCTACAAACTTTGTGAAGACCAATATTTGTGTCATTCTCAAAACCTTTGACCACGACTGTACAGAGCGCAGAATAACTGATGAATTTACGAACGCTCAACACCAGTTGAATATAGCCGGTGTCAGTAAACGTCCGCAAAAAAGCATAATTAAAGTGTTGCCAGCAGTACAGTTGCAGTCACCAACGCTCTGGACGCTCCGTGTAGCTCATTTGGTAGAGCATGGCGCTTGCAACGCCAGGGTTGTGGGTTTGATTCCCAAGGGGGACCAGTAAAAAAATAAAAATAAATGTATGCCCTCACTAACTGTAAGTCGCTCTGGATAAGAGCGTCTGCTAAATGACTAAAATGTAAATGTAATGAAAACAGCCTAACCAGCTCTACTAGGGTGAGTAAAATGGTCAGAGTGAGGTTCTCTCTCATTTGTGTCTGGAAGTAGCTAGTAAGTTAGCTTGGGTGCTTGACTGCCATTGTGAGGTCAGAATGCTCGGATCAACCCTACTCCTCGGCCAGAGTGTCCAGCGTGCGCTCTGAACACTCTGAGAGCGAAATGCTCTGAATTCACAATCTGACAACGCTCTGAATTTACGAACGCCCAGAGCAAACTCTGGCACTCCAGATTGAATTTAATAACACTAAAATTAACTAATAGTATACAGTATGTAGTATATACTCATGAAGTATACAGTATGTTAGTATGGGTATTCGAACACAGCTTCTGTCACAGTCATTCTCTATCAACTTAAATTATAAAATAGTGTGTTCTAGTTATGGATGTTGATCACTTGTAATGGATTATTCAGTGACAAATCTCTGCATGAGACACAACTGAGAAACTATGTAGGTGCCATTCAGTGGTGTAAATTACTTAAGGTAAAATACTTTAAAGTACTACTTAAGTAGTTTTTTTATCTGTACTTTACTTTACTATTTATATTTTTGACTACTTTTACTTTTACTTCACTACATTCCTAAGGAAAATAATGTACTTTTTACTCCATACATTTTCCCTGACACCCAAAAGTACTCGTTACATTTTGAATGCTTAGCAGGCAGGAACATTGTCAAATTAACACACATATCAAGAGAACATCCCTGGTCATCCCTACTGCCTCTGATCTGGCGGACTCACTAAACACACATGCTTTGTTTGTAAATGATGTCTGAGTGTTGGAGTGTGCTATCGGTACATTTAAAAAACAATACAATGGTGCTGTCTGGTTTGCTTAATGTAAGGAATGTGAAATTATTTTAACTTTTACTTTTGATACTTAAGTATATTTGAGCAATTACATATACTTTTGATACTTAAGTATATTTTAAACCAAATATTTGTAGACTTTTACTCAAGTAGTATTTTACTGGGTGACTTTCACTTGAGTCATTTTCTATTAAGGTATCATTACTTTGACTCAAGGATGACTTTTGTGTACTTTTTCCACCACTGGTGCTATTCATATATCAAATACTGTAACATTGTCAAAGTAGATAGGGTTTATTACCCAAACCGGTTCAGCCAATCACTGACACTACCAGAACCTCCATGTTGAGCATGTTTATTCACTCAATCTGAATCACACTTCTCATGACTTCATTCACAGAAAATCTGATACAGACATTCACATGATTTCACAGTCGTTTCCCACTGGGCACAGATGTCAATTCAACGTCAATTCCACATTGGTTCAATGTAATTTCATTGAAATCACGTGGAGAAAATGTTGATTCAACAGTGTGTGCACAGTGGGTTCCAATAAAAAACTGCATTCACGTTAAGGAAAGGATGCTTTAGCACTACAACCAGCCTCAACGGTAAGACATTCTCACACAGCATTCCATACATAGTTAACGCTATTGGTGGTCGCATAATAGTCCGTTAAATTCCATCTTTGGAAAGCATATTAGAGTGGGGTTGAAGAAATGTAGGTAAGGGATAATCAACGAGGGGCTATGCGTTCTATGGAAAATAATGAACGAGGTGGAATGTGTGATCCACGACCCACTAGTGGAGTGGAACAGACCTTCCACAGAGTTGCATTATTTTCCAGAGAGCCCCGAGTTGATTATCCCTTTTATACCATGGCTATAATTTAATACATTTGCCACTAGAAATGTGTTCAACATCCACTGAAGTAGCTACCAAGTTTACTACATAGCTACATGAGTTGCCATGGTAACCAAACAAACAGACTTGCTAGTTTAGCTAATCAAACCATCAGTCCTAGCTTACCACTATGAAAATCGAATTCATAATTGGCAATAATGTTTTCAATTCTACTTTTGCTTTCAAAAGCAGCTCAAACATAGAACATGTAAGAATGAACTATAGCCATTGAATTCTACATTCCAAATATACCTTGTATTATAGGGAAATAATGCAAGCTCTAGAATGCCCTTCTTACCCATGCATCTAGTTTTAACCTATTACTTACAGCAGCTACAGTGCTAATAAGTGAACTGTCAATCCTGCATCCCCCCACCTTTCCCTCACTCCCTTCCTAATGTTGTTATTTAGTCACAGCACAGATTCTTTACTGTCACCATGGTCACAGGAGGGGAGTATTTGTTGTTATAAACTGGGTGGTTAGAGCCCTGAATGTTGATTGGCTGACACCCGTGATATATCAGACCGTATACCACGGGTATGACAAAACATGTATTTGTTCTGCTCTAATTACGTTGGTAACCAGTTTATAATAGCAATAAGGCACCTCTGGGGTTTGTGACCTATGGCCAATATACCACGGCTAAGGGCTGTGTCCAAGCACTCCGCGTTGCGTCGTGCATTAGAACAGCCCTTGGCCGTGGTATATTGGTCATATACCACACCTCCTCTGGCCTTATTGCTTAATTATAACACTTTGACCTGTGTGAGCTGGTAACCATGGAAAACATTTTTGAAAGGAGACTCCCCAGAAATGTTTATGGGTGTCATCACTTCCCTGGTCACCTTCTGTTCCCCCTCCTCTGTTTTGTCCTCTGCTCTGAGTTTGAACCCTGTGTGGGGTCTTCAGAAGCACCCTGCCCCAGTCCCGAGGGTCCAGAGACATTGGTGTCGGGCCCAGCCCAAGGCTTCTGGGTCTGGGAGGTTGTCTTGCGTTGTGCCAGTGTGGCCATGGCACTACCCAGAGAGCCAGCCTGGAGACTGAGGCCTGAGGCTGAGGCTGGGGCCCAGGCCATCTCTGTGCTACATCCAGGACTGCCAAACGGTACAAAGAACCAGAATAGAAAAGATCTCTGTTTGAAGGGTTATGTAACATCAGTGTGGTAATATTATTAATAAAACAAACTGTGCCAGTTCACTTTCAAACATTGGACTAATGACACTCACTTGAATATTTTCACATTTGTTCCTAAATTAGGTGCAAAGACAATTGCGTGCTCCAGCATCATTACACTGAGTTAGTTTGGCCTGGGTAAGGTATCTAGTACAGTCCTTGCTGTGTAAGAACCCTTTGTTGTTATTTTATGTTTACAGGATCATTGAAACACTGTTTTTCTTTCCCAAAATGTATTTTGAAATGATGAAACAAAGTGTTGGTATAGTAGTAGGGTCGTTCCAGGAAATGAGTCCCTTCTGGTGACCTAAAGTTGTGGGAACGATTGTTAGCTGGGTTTTGGGTTGTCTAACTTGGTGGAGAAAAAAAGAACCTGTTTTATTTCACCTAATTTTAACATTCTGTCATGAAGAGCACATGTTCAACTTAATAAAAAACGTGTTTTCCCATCTCAAGAGGTTGAATAAAAAAATGACTATAGTAAGTGCCTATTAAGTGCCAAATAAAGTATCAGGGTTGACCACAACAGGGTTGACGATTTCATCTTAAATCAGCCATAAATCCCCTTGTGACAGGAGGAATGGAAGCTTGTTGTGTGCAACAGAGAGGGGCACTTGAATGCAAGTGTCACAAAAAAAATGAAAATGTTAAATCATTTCTAGCCTGTTCCTCTATGGGTAACAGGGTTGACAAGTTATGCTTGACCCACTCAGTTTTCCACCACAAAACACCAGAAAATTGCCAAAAAGAGTAGAACCAGCTCACCTGCTTTTACATTATGATTTGACTATTAGATATTCAATGTTTCTTTTCCCAATAAAAAAAGGAAAAGTTTCACCATATTAAAACGAGAGTTCAGTTCACGTAACAGGGTTGACCTTAAAATGAGGGACAGGTTGTTGTTTTTTACTTTAAAATTAATAACTAAATCATATGAAATAAATTATAATCTTCAGAAATGACTTTGTCAAAGCAACAAAATAACTAGGGCTTTACAACGATGGTGAAAAGATGTTGAGGTTAAGTGGGTTACCATCTTTCTTGAAGTCACAGAGGGTGCACAGAGGGACATATAAAAATGCAGAATCTTGCCACTTTAGCAAGTCTTTATTCATGTAAAAAATCTGATTTATTAAATTTTCCATGTGGTCTATATCAAAGGGCATTTCATTTAATATAACAGTCTTTTAAAATTCAATATTGGTGCACAATTTCTACTTAGAATATCAAAGGGACTCATTGCTCCCGAGTGGCGCAGCGGTCTAAGGCACTGCATCTCAGTGCTTGAGGCGTCACTACAGACCTCCTAGTTCGATTCCAGGCTGTATCACAACCGGCCGTGATTGGGAGTCCCATAGGGCAGCGCACAATTGGCCCAGCGTCGTCCGGTTTTGGCTGGTGTAGGCCGTCATTGTAAATAAGAATTTGTTCTTAACTGACTTGCCTAGTTAAATAAAGGTTAAATAAATACAATTACATGGAAGACCCAGTACCACATTGAATGTATAATACACCATGTCATAATGAGACAACACATTTAATCATCATTGATATAAAATATACAGTACCAGTCAAAAGTTTGGACACACCTACTCATTCAAGGGGTTTTCTTTATTTTTACTATTTTCTACATTGTAGATATAATAGTGAAGACATCAAAACTATGAAATAACACATGGAATCATGTAGTAACCAAAAAAGTGTTAAACAAATCAAAATATATTTTATATTTGAGATTCTTCAAAGTAGCCACCCTTTGCCTTGATGACAGCTTTGCACACCCTTGGCATTCTCTCAACCAGCTTCATGAGTTAGTCACCTGGAATGTGAGTAAGACTTTTAAGCAGGTCAACATTCACAAGGCCGCAGGGCCAGACGGATTACCAGAACGTGTACTCCGAGCATGTGCTGACCAACTGGCAAGTGTCTTCACTGACATTTTCAACATGTCCCTGACTGAGTCTGTAATACCAACATGTTTCAAGCAGACCACCATAGTCCCTATGCCTAAGGACACTAAGATAACCTGCCTAAATGACTACCGACCCATAGCACTCACGTCTGTAGCCATGAAGTGCTTTGAAAGGCTGGTCATGGCTCACATCAACACCATTATCCCAGAAACCCTAGACCCACCCTAATTTGCATACCGCCCCAACAGATCCACAGATGATGCAATCTCTATTGCACTCCAAATTGCCCTTTCCCACCTGGACAAGAGGAACACCTATGTGAGAATGCTATTCATTGACTACAGCTCAGCGTTCAACACTATAGTGCCCTCAAAGCTCATCACTAAGCTAAGGATCCTGGGACTAAACACCTCCCTCTGCAACTGGATCCTGGATTTCCTGACGGGCCGCCCCCAGGTGGTAAGGGTAGGTAACAACACATCTGCCACGCTGATCCTCAACACGGGGGCCCCTCAGGGGTGCGTGCTCAGTCCCCTCCTGTACTCCCTGTTCACCCATGATTGCATGGCCAGGCACGACTCCAACACCATCATTAAGTTTGCCGACGACACAACAGTGGTAGGCCTGATCACCGACAACGATGAGACAGCCTATAGGGAGGAGGTCAGAGACCTGGCTGTGTGGTGCCAGGATAACAACCTCTCCCTCAATGTGATCAAGACAAAGGAGATGATTGTTGACTACAGGAAAAAAAAAGAGGACTGAGCACGCCCCATTCTCATTGACGGGGCTGTAGTGGAACAGGTTGAGAGCTTCAAGTTCCTTGGTGTCCACATCACCAACAAACTATCATGGTCCAAACCCACCAAGACAGTCGTGAAGAGGGCACGGCAAAGCCTGAAAAGAGGCCGAGCAGTTGCCATACCATACTCAGATCCTCAAAAATGTCTACAGCTGCACCATCGAGAGTATGGCATCGCCTGGTATGGCAACTGCTCGGCCTCCGACCGCAAGGCACTACAGAGGGTAGTGCGTATGGCCCAGTACATCACTGGGGCCAAGCTTCCTGCCATTCAGGACCTCTATACCAGGCGGTGTCAGAGGAAGGCCCTAAAAATTGTCAAAGACTCCAGCCACTCTAGTCATAGACTGTTCTCTCTGCTATCGCACGGCAAGCGGTACCGGAGCACTAAGTCTAGGTCCAAAAGGCTCTCAACAGCTTCTACCCCCAAGCCATAAGACTCCTGAACAGCTAATCATGGCTACCCTGACTATTTGCACTGCCCCCCCACCCCACCCCACCCCCCTCTTTTACGCTGCTGCTACTCTGTTTATTATTTATGCATAGACATTTTAACTCTACCCACATGTACATATTACCTTAATTACCTCGACTAGCCGGGGCCCCCGCACATTGACTCTGTACCGGTACCCCCCTGTATATAGCCTCCCTGCTGTTATTTTATTTTACTGCTGCTCTTTAGTTATTTGCTTTAATTTTTTTTACTTAACACTTTTTTTATTTTATTTTTTTATTTTAAAAACTGCATTGTTGGTTAAGGGCTTGTAAGTAAGCATTTCACTGTAATGTCTACACCTGTTGTATTCGGTGCATGTGGCAAATAACTTTTGATTTCATTTTGAATGCATTTCAATTAACAGGTGTGCCTTGTTAAAAGTTAATTTGTGGAATTTCTTTCCTTCTTAATGCGTTTCAGCCAATAAGTTGTGTTGTGATAAGGTAGGGGTGGAATACAGAAGATAGCCCTATTTGGTAAAAGACCAAGTCCATATTATGGCAAGAACAGCTCCAATAAGCAAAGAGAAACAACAGTCCTTTATTACTTTAAAACATTAAGGTCAGTCAATACGGAACATTTCAAGAACTTTGAAAGTTTCTTCAAGTGCAGTCGCAAAAACCATCAAGCGCTATGATGAAACTGGCCCTCATGAGGACCGCCACAGGAAAGGAAGACCCAGAGTTACCTCTGCTGCAGAGGATAAGTTTATTAGAGTTAACTGCACCTCAGATTGCAGCCCAAATAAATGCTTCACAGAGTTCAAGTAACAGACACATCTCAACATCAATTGTTCAGAGGAGACTGCGTGAATCAGGCCTTCATGGTCGAATTGCTGCAACAAAACCACTACTGAAGGACATCAATAAGAAGAAGAGACTTGCTTGGGCCAAGAAACACAAGCAATGGACATTAGACCGGTGGAAATCTGTCCTTTGGTCTGAGGAGTCCAAAGTTGAGATTTTTGGTTCCAACAGCCGTGTCTTTGTGAGAACGGATGATCTCCGCATGTGTGGTTCCCACCTTGAATCATGGAGGAGGTGTGATGGTGTGGGGGTGCTTTGCTGGTGACACGGTCTGTGATTTATTTAGAATTCAAGGCACACTTAACCAGCATGGCTACCACAGCATTCTGCAGCGATATGCCATCCCATCTGGTTTGCGCTTAGTGGGACTACCATTTGTTTTTCAACAGGACAATGACCCAACACACCTGCAGGCTGTGTAAGGGCTATTTGACCAAGAAGTAGAGTGCTGCATCAGATGACCTGGTATCCACAATCACCCGACCTCAACCCAATTGAGATGGTTAAGGATGAGTTGGACCGCAGAGTGAAGGAAAAGCAGCCAACAAGTGCTCAGCATATGTGGGAACTCCTTCAAGACTGTTGGAAAAGCATTCCAGGTGAAGCTGGTTGAGAGAATGCAAGAGTGTGCAAAACTGTCATCAAGGCAAAGGGTGGCACCTTTGAAGAATCTAAAATATATTTTGATTTGTTTAACACTTTTATTTCATAATTTTGATGTCTTCACTATTATTCTACAATGTAGAAAATAGTAAAAATACAGAAAAACCCTTGAATGAGTAGGTGTCCAAACTTTTGACTGGTACTGTAAATCTGAATGTAACAGTCCAGCTAAAGATTGTCCAATCCAGGACGTATTTGATTGACATGACCATACATTCTGTTAACTCTTAAAGGCTCAAATGTGGTATTTTTGGCTACAGTCAGGAAGGTTTTTAGGCACTACACTGACCCCCCTGTAGTTTGGAAGGCCTCATCTAAACCATACATGTTTAACCACTAAAATGGCTTCTCAGTTGAAGTCCAACAAAACAAAAACATTCTCTAGATTCCAGCTGGAACACTTGTGATGATAAATACATAATTGTAAATCTATACAGTATATGATATGCATGCTTCATGTATTTACACCCATTTTGGGTACAGTACAAATCATTTGATTGAAGATCAACCTGTTCTGCAGACTCTCACACTAAGAATCTACAAACGGCTGCTGTGGAGACTACATGTCCCAGCCTCCACCTTGCTCCTCCACTGTGACCAGCTAGTTGGCACATAAAATATGCCCCTGTGCTGAATACCAGAGCGTTTGGGGCCAGTCGGGGCCATCCGATCTGGCACGTAGCAAAGACATGACTGGGTAAGTGCATGACTGGGTAAGACTCCTGAGAGAGTCTATAGGAGGGCCCTATGCCCCTGTTGTGTCTGTCCTAGCTGTAGGTAAGGTGCCGGTAAAGGGGTGGGGCCTACCTGCCGGCGGACGCACACTCTCCCAGGTGTATCCTGAGCACGCCCTGGCTGTGGAGCCTCAGCAGGTGGTCAAACTCAGCGGGCATGGAGTGCACCGTCTTCTTACTCTGCCTGTTGTCGTAGTAGTGGTTGGTGAGGGGCTGGTTTCTGTTGGGGTGTTGATTAAAGGGCCAGAACCCGTAGAGATGCACGTTGGCACACAGCTCCAGCGCCAGGCTAGCCACGATGAGTCCTGTGCTGAGGCGTACCGTCTGCAGGCCCTGGCCCCGCCAGAAGACAGCCAGACTCTGGAGGTACTCTGGGTTGAGGAAGACGGGCCGTGAGGGGCTGCCAAAGTCCTGGATGGTGTAGAGGGCCCGCAGAGACACGGGCGTGTTGTGGCCGTACGAGAAGGCTGGCAGGAGCATCAGGGAGTCGCCATAGCTACGCAGGCTCTCCACGAAGGGCCGACGACGCCCCTGCAGGCCCCCATATCTGAGAGAGGATGGGATGGAGAGAAAAAAAGAGGTGAAGAACAGCTGGAGGAGATGAATTTGACCAGCACAAGAATATATGATCAGGTCATTTCTTAATCCACTATAAAATACCAGGTGATAGGCAATATGAGAAGCACAATGAGCTCCCAAACTCACTTCTCCATGAGGATGCTGGGATTAGCTGTCACCAGGTCTGTCTTGTTGCCCACGTCTCTCTTATAGCCATTTTCCAGAGGAGGGAGGTTACACCTGAGAGAGGGAGACATAGAGGGAAGTAGTCAGTAAAGTTGTGTCTAACAATGTTTGATAGGAAATGGTCATTATTGTGGAGTACGTTTTCTGTCTCACACCTGATAACAAACTGGGCGGAGTCGATTTTCTCTCCACAGCTGCTGTTAGCTAGGATTCCCCCATTCCCAACAACAGAACACGTATCCCATGTCGTATTCACAAAAGGATTCTCCTGTAGGCAACACAACATGTGTCATGTCACTCTCTTTCTTAAACCCACACTAATCATTGAGGTGACACTCTGGACCAGAGCAACGAACCTTAGCGAAGGTGCTGAACAGTTCAGGGGTCACCTGAAGAGGCTTCCTCTTCTCTCCATCGTACACAACCTTTGACCCCAGAGGAGTGTTGGCCTGTGTCACCATAGCCTTGGTGAGTCCATGACATTTGTCACGCAGAAGAGACCTGAGAACACAATAATAACCTTTTGATTATAAGATAAAGAGACAGTATTAAAAGCGTACTGTAAATTAATCACATACTCTTTTATCTTATTTTAAAACAGACTGGTTGATAAGTTAGGTATAAAAAGCTACTGGTGATAAATGGAAGAAAATATCAGATACAGGAATACATAAACAAGGTGTCACGCCCTGGCTCTGGGGACTCTAATATGTTGAGCCAGGGTGTGTATAGTCTATGCGTGTTCTAGGTTTCACTTTCTGGTTTGGTATATCTATGTTGGCCAGGGTGGCTCCCAATCAGAGACGGCTGTAGCTCGTTGTCTCTGATTGGGAGTCATACTTAGGTAGCCGTTAGGCATTCATTTGGTGTGGTTTCTTGTTCGTATTTGGTTTGTGTATTACCATTGACTGTCACGTCATCGTTTTGTTGTTTTGATCGTGTGATCATTCTATAAATAAATATGTTCGCCTTCAACGCTGCGCCTTGGTCCTCCTCTCTGGTAGACGATCGTGACAGAAGAAACCACCAAGATTTGACCAAGCAGCGTGTCCAGGAGCCATCGCCAGGGAGATCTCTAGCAGATCTCCTTCGCCTCCTCGACTGGGTCAAGCCGGGTGAGGAAGAGAAGGGCTTGACATTGTGGCAGAAGGGCGAAAGGCTGGCGAGGGACATGGAGACCTGGTCCACGGGTAGGAGAGACGGCCAGAAATTTTTTAGGGGGGGGCTAACGCCGTGGACGACGGGCCAGCAGGAGACCGCGGCAGAGCGGCCCAGCGGGTTGGCAGAGGAGGCCGCCAGGTTACGGGGGCCACTGGTCGAAGAGGGGGTGGAAGGTGTAGAGGCACGGCGAGAGGTACTGGGGTGTGTTACCAGTCCGGTCCGGCCCATTCCAGATCCCGGCGTAGGACCAGTGGTGTGTGTCCCCAGTACGGTCCGGCCTGTTCCTGCTCCCCGCACCAGGTCAGTGGTGCGCTTCGTCAGCCCGGCTCGGCCCGTTCCTGCTCCCCGCACCAAGTCAGTGGTGCGCTTCGTCAGCCCGGCTCGGCCCGTTCCTGCTCCCCGCACCAAGTCAGTGGTGCGCTTCGTCAGCCCGGCTCGGCCCGTTCCTGCTCCCCGCACCAAGTCAGTGGTGCGCTTCGTCAGCCCGGCTCGGCCCGTTCCTGCTCCCCGCACCAAGTCAGTGGTGCGCTTCGTCAGCCCGGCTCGGCCCGTTCCTGCTCCCCGCACCAAGTCAGTGGTGCGCTTCGTCAGCCCGGCTCGGCCCGTTCCTGCTCCCCGCACCAAGTCAGTGGTGCGCTTCGTCAGCCCGGCTCGGCCCGTTCCTGCTCCCCGCACCAAGTCAGGGGTGCGCTTCGACAGCCCGGCTCGGCCCGCTCCTGCTCCCCACACCAAGCCAGTGGTGTGCGTCGTCAGTCCGGCACGGCCCGTGCCTGTTCCCCGCACCAAGTCAGGGGTGCGCTTCGACAGCCCGGCTCGGCCCGCTCCTGCTCCCCACACCAAGCCAGTGGTGTGCGTCGTCAGTCCGGCACGGCCCGTGCCTGTTCCACCGGTGGCTGGTCCGGCACCGGTCAGATGCTTCACGCCGGAGCTAGAGCAATCCGCTCCACCAGTGTGCAGTCCAGCTCCGGCCAGCGGGGCCAGACCGGACCAGGGGTACCTTGGGGGGTTGGAGAGGGAGCGGGGATCAGGCCCGGAGCCGGATCCGCCGCCTAAGCGGAGTGCCCACCCGTTCCCTCCCCTGTGGTATTTGGTGGGCGCGGTCGGAGTCCGCGCCTTTACGGGGGGGTACTGTCACGCCCTGGCTCTGGGGACTCTAATATGTTGAGCCAGGGTGTGTATAGTCTATGTGTGTTCTAGGTTTCACTTTCTGGTTTGGTATATCTATGTTGGCCAGGGTGGCTCCCAATCAGAGACGGCTGTAGCTCGTTGTCTCTGATTGGGAGTCATACTTAGGTAGCCGTTAGGCATTCATTTGGTGTGGTTTCTTGTTCGTATTTGGTTTGTGTATTACCATTGACTGTCACGTCATCGTTTTGTTGTTTTGATCGTGTGATCATTATATAAATAAATATGTTCGCCTTCAACGCTGCGCCTTGGTCCTCCTCTCTGGTAGACGATCGTGACACAAGGCCTCATCCTCTTGTCTTAATATAAATATAAACATTGGAAAGGGATGTTTATTGAAAAGTATTGTCTTTTAGAATTTCTGCTCTGAGTGTCCTTCCTTTCAAGTGTTTATTCATTCACAAAGCTCCTTACTGTTCTCTTTGATGGTGTTTGGTGTTGTTGAAGTCTCTGTATACTGTATAGAGAGCATTACTAAGCCAGTGTTAGCCTGCAGAGACAGGAAGCTGAGGAAGACAGCATTGAGAAGGAAAACACCCACTGACTGACTGACTGGTGTTGCAACAATCACACATTACTCTTTGACCTCTACTTCTACTGCTACTAACAGCATGAAGAGGTAAACGCTAACATTTCACAGGTCGCTTCTGCTTTGAAGCACACTTCCACTTGCTTTTGTTTCTCATTCTTTTAGGAGTAGAAAGGAAACATCCATTTTGTTATGGTTAGTGACCCTCACAAAGTGGTCTTTGGTTCATCTTGGCTGGCTTTTAGTGGGGTTCAGAGTCTGGGTTTATAGTGTGTTTATATTTCACCTGAACTTTGTGAAATTGTCCTCCTGCTTCCTCCAGCGGTGAGAGTAGCGCTCCACCACTTTTTCAGTGACTGTATCCCTTTGACACACACACACACACACACAGACATACACACACAAAACAGAGAACATGCAGTTATGAACCATATAATGAAGTTAATAACAGTAGAGAGACGATGAGGCGGTTGTTGAGCAGAGAGGATTGTAGGTAGTGGTTGCCAGGGCGTGTGTCTAGTCTCACCTGCAGCCCTTGCATGTTCCGGAGGGGTCTGGCACAGAGTTCCTAATAGGAGCTTTGTGGGGGGGGCTGCCAGGATGGACATTTGTGCTATGTACACAAACAGGGACAGAGGAAGACAGAGAGAATAGGATGATGACCTCAGTTAATAGTAAAAAAAGGACAAGAGATAAGCCAATTATCTATGATGGATTTGACAGAGTCACAAGTAGACCTCTGTTTGAACCCAGTACACCACTTATCTTGTCAACACTTGTATAGCTGCATTGTTTGCTGTTGTATTGCAGTGTATTGCTTGAGTTTACCATGTTACCTTCACTGAATGAATTGTGTTGATGTGGTAATTTACAGTGTTTACATTAAATCAATAGCTGAATGTTGGGCGTACTGTAACAATAACCTGGTGAGCTAAAGGATTACCGAAGCCAAAACACAACACACTGGGCAGCCATTTTACCTTACCCCTCTGAGTCTAGCGTGTTTTACTGATCATCAAAAAATAAACCCTGAACGCTTGAATGGGTTTCACAGCAGCATTACACCCATAAGTGCCAACCGCAAATTAACTGAAAGACAGGGGACTTTTTCAAAAATCCGTTTTAGATCTGATAAGAAATCCAAGGGCAAGGTCAAGCCTGAACTTACTGTATACAGAAAATCACCCTTGACGTGAGCTACAAAGAGATCTTTGATGAACATACTACAGAAGGTGCATGGGTTTCCCCACTCCACAATGCCCTACTCTTGTGGACAGTTATTTATGGTGGGATAATTGTCTTATCCTGCAGATGGGGAATGTCAAACAAATCAAATCAAATTGTATTTGCCACATGCGCAGAATACAACAGGTGTAGACATTACAGTAGACATTACAGTGAAATGCTTACTTACAAGCCCTTAACCAACAATGCAGGTTTTTTATAAAAATAAAAAAGTAAAATAAAAAAGTGTTAAGTCAAATAAATAAAAGCAAATAACTAAAGAGCAGCAGTAAAGTAAAATAACAGTAGGGAGGTTATATACAGGGGGGTACCGGTACAGAGTAAATGTGCGGGGGCACACTTAGTTATATGATTAACTCTGAGATTCTAGAGTCACATTCAGACAGATACCGTTTAGACAGTTAGTTTTATTGAGACATGACTGGAAAAAAATGGCTCTCAAGTTTCACTGTCACAGAGGAGTAGACACTAAGCGTAAACAAACCAACAGTGTGTTCATCTGGCGTGTTTTGGTAACAGCATGAGAAGGCATTTTACAGTGACCTCTCTATCTCGATCTCTTGTACAAATGTTCTGTTCCCCTTTCACTTACTTATCTCCCTCTGCCTACAGATGACTTATTAAATTCCCACAGAAAATAGATCACTATTTAAAATCAATATCTAACAGAGTAAAAATGTGTTATTAGAGGTAGATGTATGCAGATGCACACTTGCACACCTACAGGCACATGCTAGGTTTGTATGTTTTAATGGGACAAAGGGAGATAAGCTCTGATATAATATTTTTGTCTGAGTATGATATTTCAAAATGCACCAACGTTGAACCATCCATGTGCCTTTGCAACACCTTCCTCTTATTCTACCTCTACATTGTCAAATAAACAGTTGAGTTCGCTTCAACACAGATGTAAAATGAATGCAGGTTGTTCAGAGTTCATAAATAGTGGTTCAAGAAACTGAGATTTATGATATGAAATCCATCAGCTCCGCTGGGGCACAAACAGATGTTTCTCTCTCTCTCTTTTCCACCACAGATTCATGGTGTGTCAGTGGTTTAGCTAAGATACCCAACAAGCATTGGGGGGAAAAAACCACTGCTCTGAGGAGAGAGAGAGAGAGAGAGGAGAGAGAGAGAGAGAGAGGGAGAGAGAGAGAGAGATGGAGAGAGAGAGAGAGAGAGAGGAGAGAGGAGAGAGAGAGAGAGAGAGACCCGAGACACAGCAAATACATCACTTGAGAGCATACCAAAGAGTGGATAAATTTAAGAAGAGTGGAAGAGAGGGAGAGTGAGGGCCAGTAGTAAACCTCACCATATTTGACCCTCAGGCTTCCAACTTCTCCAACAACCTACAGACCAGAAAGTATACAGTGAAATGGTGTGAAGATCTAGAAAGAATGAAACTCACCCCTGAAGAAAAGTTCAGACCGAACCTGAGTCCGACAGTTCCACTAAATACAGATAAGTATACGGAAGAAGAACAGTCACACTGTCATGAACTCCTCCAATCAATTGAAGAATCCTCAGACTCTAACCACTTCTGGATCTAAACTCTCCACTTCAACCCATGAATGCGCTTCTACTCACAGAGAGTATGTTTTTGCGTCACCTTACCACATCTCCAATCTTTTGGCCTATCAGAGAACAACCCATCAAACATATATACTTGATCAAATCCCAACTAGAACAACTATAAGACTACCACCATGGTCTCATCTGGCTTCCTTACTTTTGTTCACTCAATACGTTCAACCTCCCGCTCTTTCTTCCTCATTTCCTTTGCATTTCTTCTTACATTCTCTCTTCCTAAATCCTCTCTCTTTCCATCTTTACTCTGGTTTCCCTTCCCTCCTTCTGGACTTGAATAACTCGGATAAAAATCGCACGCCTCCTAAAAATCTTGTTCTTATCGCGTATCTCTCATGTAAATATACAAGCCCAATCATTGCTTACTTACCATGTAACTACGAAAAACAACCCTCCCCAACCCCCCAAAAAACCCCTTTTTTCCTTATTAAAAAATTACCCCAAATTTCAATTTGAAATTTTTTAAAAAGTTAAAACCTTAAAAAAACCCCCCCAAAAAAAACAAAAAAAAATTTTTCCAAAACCGGGGGGGAAAAACCCCCCCCCAATTTTGGGGAAACCCAAAAAACAAAACCCCGAAATTTTTTTGTTTCCAAAAACCGGGCCCCTTACCCCCAAGGGGAAAAAAAACCCAAAAACTTAGGGGTTTTTTTTAAAAAAATTTCCCAAAAAAATTTTTTTCAAAAAAATTTTTTAAAAATTGGAAAACAAAAACCACACACATTTCTTCCACAGGGCCGTGGGGTGAGACAGGGATGCGTTTAAGCCCCACCTCTTCAACATATATATCAACGACATTGGCGAGGCACTAGAACAGTCTGCAGCACGCCCGGCCTCACCCTACTAGAATCTGAAGTCAAAATGTCTTCGTTCGCTGACGATCTGGTGCTTCTGTCACCAACCAAGGAGGGCCTACAGCAGCACCTAGATTTCTGCACAGATTCTGTCAGACCTGGGCCCTGACCAGTAAATCGTCAGTGAAGACAAAAATAATGGTGTTCCAAAAAAGGTCCAGTTGCCAGGACCACAAATACCAAATTCCATCTAGACACCGTTGCCCTAGAGCACACAAAAAAACCTATAAATACCCTCGGCCTAAACATCAGCGCCACAGGTAACTTCCACAAAGCTGTGAACGACTGAGAGACAAGGCAAGAAGGGCCTTCTATGCCATCAAAAAGGAACATAAAATTTGACATACCAATTAGGATCTGGCTAAAAATACTTGAATCAGTTATAGAACCCATTGCCCTTTATGGTTCTGAGGTCTGGGGTCCGCTCACCAACCAAGAATTCACAAAATGGGACAAACACCAAATTGAGACTCTGCATGCACGAATTCTGCAAAAACATCCTCGTGTACAACGTAAAACACCAAATAATGCATTGCAAGCAGGAATTTGCTGGAGAATTGGCCCCCCTTTTCTCCCGAAAGAGGTTTTAAATTCTTCCCCCTTAAAAGGAAACGACCCAAATTCCTAACCTCCCAAAGTGAACTTGGGGAAAACCCCCAATTTAAACGTCCGGGGGGGACAAACCAAAAACCCCAAAACCCCCCAAAAAAAAAACAAACCAAAACACCCAAAAATTGAGCCCAAAAAAAAAACCAGGAAAGAACAAAACAAAAAAAAACCCAAATATTTTTTCCCTAAAAAAACAATGGCAAAAAACAAAAATTTTATACCCCAAATTTTAAAAATTTATTTTGGGCTTGAGGGTTTTCTTTAAAGGGGTACACCTTTTTCAAAGAAACCCTTGCCTGCCCCCAAAAAAAGTAAAAAAGGTAAACCCCATTTTGAATTTATGAAAAAAGGAAATTTTTTCCCCCCGGAAAAAACAAAAACAAAAATTTTTTTTTAATCCCTTTCACTGGGGGAAAACCAAAAGTGTGATCACAGTGCAAGTTTGTACCCTTTCCCGGGGCCCAAAACAAAACCCATTTAATAACCCAAATTTTTTTTTTCCCTTTTGTTTTAAATTTCCCTTTTTAAAACTGAAAAAAAATTTGAAAGTTTTTTTTTTGGGAACCGGTGAAGTTTCGAATTTTATTGATTTTCCGTTTTTTTAATAGTTTCAAGAAATCTTTTCCCCTCCCGCCTTCTTGTTGTTTTTTTTTTGGGGGGAAGGGCCAGTAAAATTTTCCCCCCACCCCTTCTATTTTCCCTTTTTCCCAAACACCCCCCCCCTTGTTCCCCAAATTAAAAATTGGGGACCCTTCCTTTTTTTCTTTGGGGGTTTTTTTCCCCCCCTTCTCCCCCCTCCGGGGGTCTCAACTTTCCCACCGCCCCCGGGGGGGGGAATTAAAGGGGGGGGGGAAAAAACCCCGGTTTTTTAAAATTTTTTTTCCCCCCCCCCCCCGGCGGGGAAAAAAAAACATCCCCTCCTTTCCCCCCTCCCCCAAATTGAATTGAGAGAGAGAGAAGGGGAGGTGGTGGAGGGGAGGGACCAGTGAACAGGCATAACCACCAACACCAAACATATCATATTTCACCTTGTTCAACTAGAGCAGCTACTCACACCAACCGATGTGAAATAATCACAGTATTAAGAGCAGAAGTGTGGTGACTCACTTCCTTCCTCTCTGTGTCTGTCTGGAGGACATGATGCTAGCTACCTCCAGCCAGAGCTAATACTCCACCCTAGACCGGGGCTAAAGGCTCCAACTTCTCCAACACCTGCCCAGCCGGGAGGGAGGAAGTTGGGGAGAAGGGGTGTGAAAGGAATGGGACTCACCGGTCGCTGAAGAAGTTCCAGACGAATGCAGTCAGGACAGTCCCCAGGATGAGCAGAGTAAGTATACAGAAGAACAGTCCCCTCATGCCTCACTCCCCCTGCTACTTCCTCTGGCTGGCCCCCTCTTCTTCTCTCTCTCTCTCTCTCCTCTATTGTCCCTCACTCAGCACTCACACGTTAGTTTGTTTCGGCACCTTACCCCCTCTCCTTTTCTTCTTTCTACCTCTCATGCACCCTCCTCCTTCCCTTGCTATTTCTCCCCAATTGTACCTCACTGCTCACGCTCGCTCTTTCTGGCTGTCATTAATCTTTCTGTCTCACTCACTCCCCCTCCTCTTCCACCCTCTCTTTCTCGCTCTCTCTCTCCCTCTCTCCCTCTTTCTCAGAGCGTTTCCGGGCACGCCTCTTCTGTAAGCGGACTATCATATCTCTGTCTGTGCCCTATAAAAATCTCTCATGCGCCTCTCTCCTTTCTTTCTCTCCTTTCCCCCCGTCCGCTCGGCTCCTGTAGAATTACAATGCCAGTCTTTTGTTCGCCCTCCTTTACGTAGATTGATATGTCTTGTTTCCTTTCATATCTCTCTGGCTTTCTCACTTCATTGAGAGCACACCACGCTCTTACTTTCTGTCCACTGTAGTCCCAGAGCTCAAGCTGTTGCTACTTCTCCAATCCCACCCGAGCCCCAGCCTTCTCTACGCTTTCCCCCTCCCTCCCTCTTCCTGTAATATCCCTCCCCCTCCGAACCCCCTCTCCCCTCTTCTCTCCCCTCCTCTGCATAAAGAGCAGCTAGTAACATAATTCCCCGGTACTGAATTAGCTCAGGGTCTGCCTCTTGACTTACGTGTGTGAGTGCGTATGAGTGTGTGTAGTGTATGTTTGTGTGTGTGTGTTTCAGGGCTTAGTGTTGAGGCAGAGAGTGTCATTAAGATTGTTTCAACAGGGGTGGGTAACAGGGGTTAGTGTGTGTGTGTGTGTGTGTGTGTGTGTGTGTGTGTGTGTGTGTGTGTGTGTGTGTGTGTGTGTGTGTGTGTGTGTGTGTGTGTGTGTGTGTGTGTGTGTCTAGCGGTGTGTGAGCGTCTGTGTGACAGGGACTTATTTTTCCCCTAGCCAATGAGGGTCAGAGTAGGCTAGGGGAAGGGGCTATTGTTTAATCAGATCTACGGTTTCTCTGTTCTCTATCTCATGCCCTCCTTTGACTGTCCCATTCCCTATCTGGCTGGCTCTGCAAGTTTACTTTCTGGGTGGTTTGCAGGTGATGAGAGAGAGATAGAAAATATATATACTTTGTGTACAACGCAAAACCCCAAACAATGCATGCAGAGCAGAATGCCCACACATTCCACCACAAAGCCCTCACCTACAGAGAGATTAACCTAGAGAAAAGTCCCCTCAGCCAGCTGGTTCTGGAGCTCTGTTCACAAACACAAACAGACCCTACAGGGCCACAGGCCAGCAACAATTAGACCCAACCAAATTAAGAGAAAGTAAAAAGATGACTATTTGACACACTGGAAGGAATCAAACAAAAACAGAGAAAATTGGAATGCTATCTGGCCCTTAACAGAGAGTACACAGTGGCAGAATAACTGACCACTGTGACTGACCCAAAATTAAGAAAATCCTTGACTATGTACAGACATAGTATTGCTATTGAGAGAGGTCGCCATAGGCAGACCTGGCTCTCAAGAGAAGACAGGATGTGTGCACACTGCCCACAAAATGAAGTGGAAACTGAGCTGCACTTCCTAACTTCCTGCCAAATGTATGACCACATTATAGACACATACATTGCCAGTCAAAAGTTTGGACACACCTACTCATTCAAGGGTTTGTCTTTATTTTTACATTGTAGAATAATAGTGATGACATCAAAACTATGAAATAACAAATATGGAATCATGTAGTCACCTGGAATGCATTGCAAATAACATTTGATTTGATTTTGAATGCATTTCAATTAACAGGTGTGCCTTGTTAAAAGTTAATTTGTGGAATTTCTTTCCTTCTTAATGCGTTTCAGCCAATAAGTTGTGTTGTGATAAGGTAGGGGTGGTATACAGAAGATAGCCCTATTTGGTAAAAGACCAAGTCCATATTATGGCAAGAACAGCTCCAATAAGCAAAGAGAAACAACAGTCCTTTATTACTTTAAAACATTAAGGTCAGTCAATACGGAACATTTCAAGAATTTTGAAAGTTTCTTCAAGTGCAGTCGCAAAAACCATCAAGCGCTATGATGAAACTGGCTCTCATGAGGACCGCCACAGGAATGGAAGACCCAGAGTTACCTCTGCTGCAGAGGATAAGTTCATTAGAGTTACCAGCCTGAGAAATTGCAGCCCAAATAAATGCTTCATAGAGTTCAAATCACAGACACATCTCAACTTCAACTGTTCAGAGGGGACTGTGTGAAGCAGGCCTTCATGGTCGAATTGCTGCAAAGAAACCACTAATTGGAGATTTCTGGTTCCAACCGCCGTGTCTTTGTGAGACATGGTGTGGGTGAACAGATGATCTCTGCACCGTAAAGCATGGAGGAGGAGGTGTTATGGTGTGGGGGTGCTTTGCTGGTGACACGGTCTGTGATATATTTAGAATTCAAGGCACACTTAACCAGCATGACTACCACAGCATTCTGCAGCGATACGCCATCCCATCTGGTTTGGGCTTAGTGGGACCATAATTTGTTTTTCAACAGGACAATGACCCAACACACCTCCAGGCTGTGTAAGGGCTATTTGACCAAGAAGGAGAGTGATAGAGTACTGCATCAGATGACCTGGCCTCCACAATCCCCCGACCTCAACCCAATTGAGATTGGGGCGGCAGGTAGCTTAGTGGTTAAGAGCGTTGTGCCAGTAACCGAAAGGTCGCTGGTTCTAATCCCCGAACCGACTAGGTGAAAAATCTGTCGATGTGCCCTTGAGCAAGGCACTTAACCCTAATTGCTCCTGTAAGTCGCTCTGGATAAGAGCGTCTGCTAAATGACTAAAATGTAATGTAAATGTAATGTAAATGTAATGTAAATGAGATAGTTTGGGATGAGTCAGACGGCAGAGTGAAGGAAAATCAGCCAACAAGTGCTCAGCATATGTGGGAACTCCTTCAAGACTGTTGGAAAAGCACTCCAGGTGAAGGATGTTGAGAGAATGCCAAAAGTGTGCAAAGCTGTCATCAAGGCAAAGGGTGGCTATTTGAAGAATCTCATATCTAAAATATATTTTGATTTGTTTAACACTTTTTTTGGTTACTACATGATTCCATATGTGCTATTTCATAGTTTTGATGTCTTCACTATTATTCTACAATGTAGAAAATAGTAAAAATAAAGAAAAACCCTTGAATGAGTAGGTGTGTCCAAACTTTTGACTGGTACTGTATTTCCAATAGATCACACAGACCCACAAAGAATTTGAAAACAAATAAACATTGATAAACTCCCATATCTGTTAGGCAAAATACCAAAATGTGCAATCACACAGCAAGATTTGTGGCCCGTTGCCATGAGGAAACGGCAACCAGAGGAGCACATTGTAAATACCACCAACATTTATCTGTTTATTTATTTTCCCCCATTATTCGTAATACAACTATTTGTACATCGCTAAAACTTTTTAAAACCTTTTTGAGTGCAATGTTTACTGTTAATTTCTAATAGTTTTGTTGATGCTGTTAAATTTGTTTCTTCTCACTTTTGTTTATTGTTTATTTCACTTGCTTTGGCAATGTAAACATATGTTTCCCATGCTAGAGAGGTAGAGGGCTCAGGAATGAGAAGTCAGTGCTGATGAGCTGTGTGTGATGAGAGCCTGTTTGTGACATGGCAGTGGAGCTGGCTCAATCACCCGGGAAACGAAAGCAACACCCCGAAATGACTCAAAGAAAGAGCGAGGGAGAAAGAGAGAGAGAGAGTGAGAAACAGATGTCCCGAGGAATAATACTGGTTTGGATGGGATCCTGTTGCTTTGTATGAAATCTGGTAGGCCACACAAGCTCACAGAACGAGACCGGCCAGTGCTGAAGCACGTAGAGCGTAAAAATTGTCTGTCCTCGGTTGCAACACTCACTACCGAGTTCCAAACTGCCTCTGGAAGCAACGTCAGCATAAGAACTGTTCGTCGGGAGCTTCATGAAATGGGTTTCCATGGCCGAGCATCCGCACACAAGCCTAAGATCACCATGTGCAATGCCAAGCTTCGGCTGGAGTGGTGTAAAGCTCGCCGCCATTGGACTCTGGAGCAGTGGAAATGCATTCTCTGGAGTGATGAATCACGCTTCATCATCTGGCAGCCCAACGGACGAATCTGGGTTTGGCGGATGGCAGGAGAACACTACTTGCCCGAATGCATAGTGCCAACTGCAAAGTTTGGTGGAGGAGGAATAATGGTCTGGGGCTGTTTTTCATGGTTCGGGCTAGGCCCCTTAGTTCCAGTGAAGGGAAATCTTAACGCTACAGCATACAATGACATTCTAGACGATTCTGTGCTTCCAACTTTGTTGCAACAATTTGGGGAAGGCCCTTTCCTGTTTCAGCATGATAATGCCCCCGTGCACAAAGCAAGGTCCATACAGAAATGGTTTGTCAAGATCGGTGTGGAAGAACTTGACTGGCCTGCACAGAGCCCTGACCTCAACCCCATCGAACACCTTTGGGATGAATTGGAATGCCGACTGCAAGCCAGGCCTAATCGCCCAACATCAGTGCCCAACCTCACTAATGCTCGTGGCTGAATGGAAGCAAGTCCCCGCAGCAATCTTCCAACATCTAGTGGAAAGCCATCCCAGAAGAGTGGAGGCTGTTATAGCAGGAAAGGGGGGACCAACTCCATATTAATGCCCATGATTTTGGAGTGAGATGTTCAACGAGCAGGTGTCCACATACCCTTGGTCATGTAGTGTATGTGATGAGATTTTATCAACAAGAGATATGTCCTGTCTTTAACTTCTAGGGGAAAGCCCCATTGATTATGAGTAGGGCTCTGTGTATTATAAGCTACCGTTAATTTGGGAAGTTGCCCAGTAGGCTGGACTGTGCAGTCTTAAGCCTCCCAAAACAATAGAGCTCTAAGAGAGGTTCTCTTGGCACATCTCACAGTTTGTCCCTGTATGCCCCTGCAACGATCCTGTTCAGTTATATAAGGGTACTAAATGTGCTACATTGTGTT